ATATGATATAATTATTCTCTCTAACATTTTATCATTTTGTATCTTATTTGGTGTTATATATTTTGGATCAATATAATAAAAATTATATAATTTTTTACATTCTTGAAATATTTATACTAAACCATTATGACAACTATTATTATAATATTCAACCAAATTATAAACTTCTTCTGCAGTAGGTGTTGGTGTGATTTTAGATTTATCTCCTTCATTAAATAATTGACATATTTTAGTCATATATTGAAGTATTCTTTTCGTTTCATGTTTTGAAATGATCTAGAATTAATTATATTTTTATATTCATCATCATTTAAGATATAATATTTGATGTATAACCTCCTAATAGTTCAACATAATCTATCAATCAATGATGTACTTGTATGTATTTTAGGTGCTGTAACAAATAGTTTGAAATTGTGTTTATTTGCATATTAACCAAATTCTAAAGAAGATATTCCTCTTTCTCCATCAAATAATAAATTATTCATAATTAAACCTTGTTCAAATAATTTATCAAAACCTTCAATTATTGAAATAGTAGATTTATCTTCAATTCTAATAACATAACTATATCTAGTATTAACATTAATGCCAATAAGATATGGGCTTAATGGAGTATTTTTATGTATTCTGTGATCAAAATCTATTTTTACAGATGGTTTATCATATTTTTGTTGAGATACTCGTTTATATTTATCAGAAAAATACAATATATCAAACATATAAGTATTTGGTATTGCAACAAATTTATAAGCAAAATTTTTATTATAAAATGAATATTTAAACGGAGATGGTTTAAAATTATTTGAATAAATTATATCTTTGTTATTGTAATAAGTATATATATTTTTATCTAATGATGGAACATATTGATTCATGTCTACATTAAATAATTGTTTTATTGTTCCATCTTTCTTAAAATAATTAATTGGTGGGTAAGTAGCTATGGTAGTAGTTGTACCTTGTGGTTGAACTGAAGGTTGAGGTCTTAATTCAGCATTTAATTGAATTTCTGGTGTTTGTTTAATTTCTTTTACTTCTTTAACTTTTGATTTAGGTGTATTTGAATATTTGTTAATTTCATGATATCCAGTTGGAACTTTCATTTTAGTTATACTTGTATTTATACTTCGTTTATTATTAATGTATATAACATATATATCATTTAATAATTTTTGTGTTCTATTATTACTAATATTAAAATAATTATAAATACCAGAATAAAATTTTTTTAAATTATGTTTTGAGTCAGTATTAGGATGAAACCCATATAATTTATCTCTAATTATATGCATATTCTATTTTATCTTTATAAGTATTATAAAATTTAGATAATTCTTGTTCCTTTGAAAGAGACATTTATATTTTTTAAAATGAACCTAATTCAGTATTAAATTTAATATTTTTACAGAATTGAAATCTTGATTTAATTCTAAAATCTTTAGTAAATTCAAATGATCGTCTAAGTTGTAAAAGATTATAATTAAATGATTCTCCATCATATAGTTTCTTATATAATTCTAATGTATCTTCATATTGACAATTTAATAAATTATTAGGAATACCTTTTAATCGAAGATGATGAGCGACTTCATTCTTCTCATTAGTTAATTTATCACAATAAGCCTTCTTACCTAAGAAATATGATTCAATACTAGTAACATCTCCAGATAATTCATAAAAATCTATATGAAATTGTCCCATATCAGAACCTCTAAGTACTCTATTATATTTTTTAGAATATTCATCTTCTAATTCAGTAATTCTTGATTTTAATATGTGCATACTATCTGTATCTTGATAATAAATTGGAATATTTAGATCTTCTACTAAACACATAACTTCATTCATAATACGTTTTGACATAGTAAGAGTTTGAACACCAATAAGATTTGGAACAGAGAAATCATCAAAACTTTTATTACATTCAAAGCATCTTATATTTTCAGCAACATCATAAAATGATTTGACTAATAACGAGTTCTTTCTTAAATATCTTTCAGCATCATATTGAATATCTCCTTTATTACTTTTAACAGATATTTGTTTAAAAACAAGATCAGTTTTAATAGGTTTTTGATTAGTCTTACCATATGATGAATTCATAATTATTTTAAATACTTCTTGTACATGATTACCTTGCTTCTTGAAATCTCTTCTTAAATTATACAATTTAGCCATCTCTTTAGATAATAAGTCAGACTTATTACCAGTTTAATAATATCCTCTAATAATTTTATATTCAATCTGTTGAAATTTAATAAGATCTTCTAATAATATATTATCTACTCTCATGATGCAACATTCATTAGAATTTTTATTTCCTTCTTTAGTATTTTTAACAATCAATGGAAAATGTAATTCTTTATTTACTTTTGTAATTTCAATATCTACAATAAATGCTGAAATAAATTTTAATTCTGAAGGTTCTAATTGTTGTTCTTCCATTAAATGTTCTAATAAGTAGTTATTTTGTAACATGTCTTCAGTAATAACAATTGGAGAACCAGTTGCTAATTTTAATCTATTAATAGCACTTGAATATAATGAACAAGCATTAAAATCATATAATTCTTATGTTATATGCCACTTTTTATTATCTCTAGTCATACATCTTCCTCCATAAATAGCTCCTTGAATAAATTCTCTAACTTTACCACCATATTCTTTTAAATTATCTATCTTTGAATATACATTATGTTTGAAGTAAGTATTAGCTAGACTAGCTGCTGAAATTACTTTATCGACATCAATATTTAAAATATTCTAAACACATATCTCTAAATTTAGAATGACCTTGTTTTAAGATTCTAACGTCTTGATTACAGTAGAAAACATAATAAGCTTTCATATCTAAATGAAATTCATCAATTCTACAATTCTCAATTTTATCAATATTTTCATTAAATAGTTCAAATTGTTCTTCAGTCCATGGTTTTATTTCATTTTTATCGGCTTCTAATTTAGTACCAATATTATTTTCAATATTAATCTTATTGAAATAGTTATATGGATAAATTTCTTTTTGAATATTAGATAAATTAAACATCTTTGGAAAAGATGCTAATGATGTAGAATTTAAAGCATAAGAATATTTAAAAGTTAATTGTTTGCCTTGAATTTTAATGTAATTTGCATATGTTTACCGCCTTTCTTAATACATCTATTAACACCATATTTAGCTAAGAATGAACCATCATATTTAAGATTATGGAAATAACAAACAGCATTATGTGGTAAATCACATAAGAAATCATATGCGCAATCTTTACCATATTTATTATAAATCTTATCTTCACCTCTTTTAGAATAACAAACACAATATGGATTATGATATCCTTGTGTGCTAGCTTCGAAATCAGCATACCAATAAGAGTGATTTACTTCTTTACGTTTATTTACCTTTACTTCAATATTTCTTGTTTCAAAAGGTAAGTATTCAAGTGTATTTAATGATTGTAATACATATTCAGATAAATCTGATTTCAAATGAATAACATCAGATAGAGTATATTGTTTAAATCCATTATGATCTCTGATATATATAATAAGATCAGATAATTTGATAGAACTATTATTTTTTCTTTAACTTCATAACATTGTTTATCTCTATTATATCGTTGTTTATTAAACATAAATTCTATACTTTTATTATGATCAATTGCCCATTTATTCATTTCTTCTCTGTTTTTAAGATAGAATGGAGTAATAGGAATATTAATATTTAATAAATAATGATCTCCCTTCATAACCGAATCACAATATAAAAACATTTCTAAATTATATTTAGCATCTTTGAGTTCGCAACCATAATAATCTATTTTACGATTTTTATGTTTATTTGTTTTATCTGTATTCTCTCTATCAATTCTAATTCTAATATGAGCAGATTTACATAACTCATTCAACGATTTAGCTTTTTGATATCTACCTCTACAATGAATTAATACCAATTCTAAAGTTTCATTATCAACTTTAGCTTGTTTTAAAGCATAACAGAAACAATTTAAATCAAATTCTGATCTTATCTTTCCATTTTCATCGAATAATGAACTGAATATTTGTGCTTTAGCAAGATATTATCCAAATATACTGAATTCTTCTTTATATCTGTATGGGAAGAAAGAACCACCTTTACTTTATATGGATGAATATGATCTTCTTCGTAATGATAAAGAGAAATTTTTAATTCAAGTAAGAATAATAATTCTGGAATAGTTTGTTTAACATAAAAAGTAGAATCTATACCATCATTAACTTCTTGTTTATTAATAAAACCCATAGATTCTTCAGAAACAGAATTAAGAAATTCATCAATTGCGTCTTGAGTATTTAACATATAAGATTTCCATCCATCTTGACGAGGTGATAATTATAAACTATATCAGTAGTTGATGAAGTGGTTTTAATTAAATCGTTAAAAGACTCTCTTACTAATTGATTTCTTCTTAATTATTCTCTAAAACCACATCTAAGATCAGCATAAATTATTTTATTTTCTTTATCATATGTTACTTCAGTATTAATTTCAGTATTGTCGTTAATATCTTCTATCATATCGTTACATTCTTCCATATTATCATTATAAAGTTGTTGTTGTTCTAATTCTTCTATCATATCATTATAATTTCTCATATTATTTTCATATTGTTCTTTTTCTTTTAATTCATTAAAATAATTTTTCCTTTCAGTGTTAATTCTTAATTCTTCATCAAATTTTTGATACATATCTTCTCTCATTAAATCATCATTGTCTTCAATAATATCAAAAGAAATATTATTTAAAGCCCATTATAAATTCTTTTTATTTAGTTCTTTTTCAACATCTAAATCTTTAATTAATGTTGCTTTTTTATTAATTAAACCAAAAGTTTGTTTGTCAGTTTTGTTTAATTTATTGAAAACTTTTGATAAAAATGGTTGTTCTAATTTAATAGAACTTTTCTTTTTGTCTTCAATTCTTTTTAATTGAGATTCCAATTTTACTTTATAATGAAAATATAAATCTCTTGTGTTAATACCCATAGCAATTAATTCTTTTCTACATTCTTTGTTATTAATTTTAGTAGATGCTGATTTAATAGTTCCTGATTTAATTGTGAAACAATTCAAAATATCTTCTTGGAATAGTTATTAGTAAATTGATAAAATTATTTAATCTGTATTTTTGTGTTGTGCTCATTTTAAAAAAATAAAAAAATAAATATTAAGAAAAATAATTTAAAAATAAACTCGGTACTATATTTCCGAATTTTGGAAAAATTCGGATTCACGTCCCTCGCGATTTAATTAAAGTATTATAAAATATAGATAAAATGTTGTCCCCCCTAAATCTACAGAATTTATATACTACTACAAAAAATTTTATCATTCAGTTACAATTTTTATATATTTAGTCTTCACTGCTTCAACACTGTCGCACAGATGACTAAGTCTATTTTTGTAATCAATAAAATGAAACGATTTTGTATTCTCAATTCATCTTCCCAATCTTTCAACCATTTGTGAAATAGATACGTTGTCATCCAAGAATTCGCTTGTGATACATAATTGTTTTTGACAACTGCGTATTCGGCTATTTTAAAGTATCTGGGTTTTGTTGATTTACCAATAAACAACAAAGGTTTTTTGGAATTATTTCCAGAGTAACACACTAACATACTAATTCTTTCTTTGAGGGGTTTTCCTCCAAAATTAAAAAAGCAAATTGAAGGAGTTTTTAATAGCAATAATTTATAAAATAACGCAGTTTCTTTGGCATTCTACACGTTGTCTTCCGAGTACTTTTCTATTTCTTCTCTGAGTTTAATTATATCATCTTTTTAATCACTTGGGTCAATAGCATTCGACTATCCATTGATTATTTTTGATTTCAGTTCATGCCTTTTACAAAAGCGATCCATCCAACCATTTGATAACTTAACATCATTGATGTTTAGTTTATCTGCGCGTTGTTTTGCAACTTTTCTAATGACGTCCAAAGAACTTAAAAAGTTTGCTTCGCGTATTTATTCAACGAAGTTTACAAACATTTCTTCAAGATCTTCATGTTTTACAATATGCAAGGTTTTAGCTTTTAAAGTGATTGATCTTTCCATGTAACCATCAGTCAAACCATTAACACGCAACATGTGCATGGTTTCTTTACCCGGAATCTTTTTAAAGTGTTTCCAAACTAAAGATAAAAGGATTTTGTCGTTTGGGATTGGGTTTGTGTTGGCCCATATAACTATTTGCTTTTTTTCTTCTAGAGATAATCTGACTCTTCTTTTTACTGGTTTTGTTGCAGAAAAAGACATATATTTTATTAGTTTTTGGTGATATTTTAAATCTTGTTTACACGTGGTATTTATTAGTTATTTAAACTAAAAAACAAATCCAAAATTTGTAAAAACAAAATAAAAAAAATTGAAAAAAAACACTAATGAGGGGATTTTTTTTCCCCAATGAATCTACTAATGAGGGGTTTTACTGTAATATACTTATAATATTTACTTATTACAAATACAAACAAGCAATCTATATAATTTTATTAAGTTATAGTTTGTTTGGAATAAATAAACCTAGGGGTTTCAAAGATAGAATTTATAAACTCAAAAAGATAAAAATATGTATTTATTTACTTTATGTCGTGTACCCGATTATTATACATCATTGTTCAATATATTTGTTCGACATATTGTGATTAAAATTTTACGTTTTAATCATTATTAACTTGTTTGTGTAAATTGGTGTGTTTTTTATTTACTTTATTGCTACAATCAATGGCGTCTATTCGTCGTGAATCTAACAAAAACGTATCTATTTGTCGTGAATGAGTAATTTATGTAAAAAATTATTTTTAATATTGAAACTGATTTTATAAAAAAATAGTTTTTAATTCAACAAAATTTACAGATTGGAGAACAAATTATTTAATAATCGCACACCCAAATGATTGGCCAAATGTACGACAAATAATCAAGTTAGACAGTAATAATTACGACAAATATATACCTTTCACTTCATATTTAAATTTGTTCATAACCTCTATTGTTATTTAATAAACTCGCAAAATGTTTTATGTTAAAACAATAGTTAATGTTATTATACGTATTTATTGTTTAAAATAAACATTTTAACACACAAAAAATAATTATGTTTGTTTTTTGACAGCAACACAGTATACTTTCAAATGTTTGTTTTGTGTTTATTGTCACTGAACACAAAATATTATTAATCACTAGCTTAAATTGGTATCTACATCCTCTCTACATCCTACACAATTTTGGTTTTTCGATCATTTGTTTTGCTATTATTGAATATTTTTATTGAATTATTTTTTTGTTTTTTTTAAATTTTTGAACTCAAAAAATTGAGTTTATCAAGTTTGAGCAGATTTAACGTATTAAAATTAAACAAAGACTGTTATTTTATATTATGATTGATAACTAAATAGTTACTATATGATAAATAATACTAATATTATTAATAACATTTTTTAATTGTTAAATTGTTTAATATGTTAATTTCAATTCATAATTTTATTTAAACGTTTATTAATATTTTTATTATATTTTAATTATATTTATTTATAATTAATTGTTAATATTTTAAGTATATATTTAACTATTATTTATAATATTATTTAAATTATAATATTTTTAATAAATTATAGTTTATGTATAGTGTTATTTTTGTTTTTTATTAATAATTAATAATTCTTATTGGTTTTTTAATTAGTTTATTATCCAAAAAA